AAATTAGTACTGTTGTTAATTATAAAACTATCCATTTCCATTCAGTAATAAGGAAAATGTTCCAAATAGGTTATATTTTATATAATAAATAAACTTATGCAAAGGAATGAAGTAAATTAAAGAAACCGTATATGAAATCTAAGGAAAAAGGTGAGATACTATGGGAGAACTTGAAAAACAGATTTTATAAAGTGGCACCTAAATCCTATCACACTATAAACTTATAGCCCACTAAATCCTAAAGCTTAACATGCAAAAATATCACATTATCATCCACTAACAATTATTACATTTAAACATCATACAAGCATTCTATATTATCTACAATTTTATCATTTATTAAATTTTAGGGTTTAAAATACAAGCATGTTAAATCATCGTCCCATATAATTCATATAATATTTCAATATATCTATTCAACATTTTTATATTATCTTATATACTTATATATAGTTCATTCTCACTTAGCATTATTTCTCTCTTCTCTCATTAAGTCATATCACACCAATTATTTTTAGTCTTAGATGATTAATCTATAGTACAAACTATCTTCCTCATTTTCTTCTCTCATATACATCACCTTACTTTTATCTTCGAATCATCATTCTATGTATTATTTAAATTTAAATTATTATAATCCACATCAACTTATGTAAGTCTATGTTGTCTAACTATTTTACGTATTATTTTTACCTATTGTTATTATATTGAACTCCCACAGTAACGCGTGAGGTATCAACTAGTACAGGAAGTTTTGAAGCAGGCTGGTGAGGTATTGGGGATGGTGTCAAACCAAGTACGTCTCATGTGAAAACGTATAAATGAAAAGACAAAAAAAAAAGTATTTGTAACGATGCCACTTCTGTTGTAATCTCAGTGGTGCCACTAAGATACTTATTTTGTATGTATTGGACGAAAATACCCTCATCTTCTACCTCCCTCTACCCTCATCTTCTACCTCTCTTTGTCGGCAGCGACGTTTGCCACAGGAGCTCGGAGCACCGGACAGAACACCGCAGGTCTGCCATCCGCCAAGGCTCTTCACGAAGGCCGTCCTCGCTGCATCAGGCGTCGAGGCGGACATCGGCGACGAGGTGGTGGAGGCAGCTGCTGGACCAGAGGAGCTACGGGTGCAGTGAGGGAGGGAGGAAGGTGCAGGAGCTCACCGGAGAGAAGTGGCCGCTCTTTCCTTGGTCGTCGCCACTGCCCAGAGCTCCTCGCGGCAAAGAGAGGTGACTGGATCTGGGATGCGCTGAAGCACAAAAGGAGGCCGGCGGCGGGCCGAGGTGGAGGGAGATGACACGTGGAAGGAGGCTGGCAGCGGGCCAAGGTGGAGGGAGATGCAGACGAAGGAGTGTCAGAGAGGGAGGAGATGTAACTGTGGTGGCCACCATCACCGGTCAGGTGAAGCCATAGAAGAGAGGCGGAAGATGAAAGGGGAAGAAGGGAGAAGGAATAAGGGGAAAAAGGGTCGTTTGGTCCAGATATTTCTTTTAAAATGCATCCAAAGGATAAGTAGACAGTAGTGGCATATCTCGAATATGTGTAAAATTATAATGGCATGGTTCCAGATACGCAAATACTAGTGGCATATTTCAAAACCAACATATTTTTAATGGCATGGATCCTATTAACCCAAAAAATAATGTGAGGGTGATTATTCTGATGAGTTTGATGAATTATGCTATTTTTAAATTAATAAAATGACATATTAGGTTAATGTTGGGTTTTTCAAGCTGCTGAAAAATCATACAGAAATGAATACTTAGGCTGCGTTCATTTCTCCAACAAAGGTGGGATGAAATTTTGGATACTCGTAGCACGCTTTTTAAACTACTAAACGGTACTTTTCATACGAAACCTTTCTATATAAAAGTTGCTCTAAAAATATCAGATTAATCCATTTTTCAAGTTTGTAATAATCAAAACTACACGTTATTACCACCTCGTTTTGCGTGAAACACTTAATCTTCATTGTAAGTTCTTACTAAAAATTCCTATGATACAAATGAGAAAAATCATTTGTCCATTACAGTAAAACCCTCAAATGGTTGTGCCCTTTATAATTGAACATATCTATTTTCCAATAAAAAATATACATATAATAGCACATACAATAAATATAATAATATACATATATCACTGCTTTAATCTAAGTTGAGCATTTGATAATCTTGCGCGATCCTACGGCAATGTGCGGGACCTTTTTCTAGGACTATCTTAAATGTACGACGCCGTTGACTTTTTTTTTGTTAATGTTTGATCATCCGTCTTATTTTGAATATTTTGTGTATATATAAAAATATTTAAATCATACTTAAATATTAATTGTATAATTTTATTAACTAGGAAGGTGGCCCGCGCGCATGCGCGGGCACTTATATTATTGAAAGGTAAAATTATTGTTTGTTCAAAAATTGTCTCATAGATTAAGGGCAAACTAAAGTTGGATAATGTTATTTTATAATAATTTAAGGGTTCTATTTTTTTCAAAGTATCTTAAAAAACCATTCACAAACTTTTTCTTAAGGGATGACTTTTGAATCATTTTTTTCTCGAGTAAATAAGAAACTATTGCTAGTTAATTATCATACCGTCCATCTATATGCATACCATGTAGTATGGCAACAAATGAAAAATGTGAGAGCATGATACTCAAAATTCTTGTGATTAAATCATCTCAAGAAGGCGTATGATATAGTAAGAAAGGGAGGGAAGTGTATGCATGGAAAAAAAGAAGAAAGGGAAAAATGAAAAAAGGGAGGGGAAGCGTACGTACCCATGTACGTAGGTGCATACCTATGCCACGGGACAAGAGGTGAGACCTTATAGTATTTAGTTTTTTCAAAGATCAATTTAATTTAACGGTTTATAATATTGGACGTACTGATTAAATGAAAAATCAAGTAATGGATACTTTGCTCTTTTTCTTCCCTTAGAATTTCTAATATTTGCTCTAATTTATTGGAGCACCACGTGGCAGCTTGAGAGCGTTTTAAGAAATTTTAAAGGACTTAACACATGTAATTAGAATATTAGCCGCTTAATATATATGTATAGGGCATATAATAATATTTGTTCCAGCTTCGTGCATGTTTATATACATGTCGAGAGAAATTAATTATGTGGCTAGCAAGCCATTAGATGTCTAATTAGTAGCAATTAATTTTGACACGTATTTATAGTTGTTCATAGTAGCTCTTATATATTCATCTTACGACTTTGATTATCCGTTGATCCACAATTTACTGATCACCATGACTCACATAAAAAAATATGTACTACTTAGGGTTTAGGACAACTGAAATTGATGAATTATCTGATTTATGTGATAGCTATTTTAGGGTATAAATGAATGAATTGACTTCTAAAAAGTTAAAATGTTGTTTAAAAAGACACCATTTAAAAACTTGGAAAGCGTGCAAACGAAAATCCAACTATGAAATCGGGAAAAAAAGCGGATCTTAAACTCCCTTATAACACCCTAGTCTTTGTAAGAGTGCTATTAATATTCGTTAAAATTGTGCTCACATTTATAACATAATGATTTATTTCACCTATACGAACAAATAGTACCAAATGCAAATACGACATATATAACACAATACATTATAATTATTCTGTAATTAACTCTCGGTTTCAGCTTAAACAGAGCTAAGTATTAGAAAAAACACAACCCACGGTGCTTAATTCCTCTCTCGCTGCATCACACCTTTAAATTTCTTTTCATGTTATTAACAAAATTAATCATCTCCATATATGATTTGATATGTTGCAAAACGGTAGTGCTGCGGTAGTCGTGATCACCTTAGATACCTTAGACAAGACGCTTTGGCACACGTGCAAAAGGCAAAGGTGCATATGTGCCTTGTGCAGCGGGCAAAAAAGAGAACTTCGGACGCTTTATTTATTAGCAAATAATATATAAGATGATTTAAATAATGGGTCCACCGGTTATAGTGTAAGTCTACATTAGTTAATATAGATTTTAAATTGTTGATTTAATGGGTACATAATATAATGGTGTAGACTTTATTTTGAAACCATGCATTATTTGAGAATAATAGTCCAATGTAATAAAAAATAGTTCCGATGATTTAAATAATAGATCCATCGGTTTAAGTGCACGTATAAATCAATTAATATAGATCTTAAATTGTTTATTTGATAGGTACACAATATAATTGTGTAAAATTTATTTTAAAATAGTGCATTATTTAAAAATAATAGTACAAAATAATGAGTACCCATGTTTAAGTGGAAACTATATTGTATTATTAATTTAATGGTCACATATAATGGTTTAAATTTTATTTCTAAAAATTGTAGAGCTAATTTAGTAGATTCTTTGTGTTGTAAATTTATGATTATTTAAAAAAGTATATAGCCATATTATATAAATGGAAAAAGAAGAAAAAAAGAAAAAAAAAAGAAAAGAAGGGCGTACGTACATGGTAAGTACCTATATATCCCCACGTACACATGCACGGGAGAAGGAGAGGTAGGACCCATAGTATTTGGTTTGTTTTAAGATCAATTTCATCTAACGGTGTGTAATGTTGGACCCACCAATTTAAGTGATTAAAGGTAGATGTTTTGCTTTTTCTTAGAATTTCTAAGATTTTCTCTAATTTATTAGAGCGTCACGTGGCAGCTTGAGAGAGTTTGTAGGAAGTTTAATGTACTTTTAGTATATACTCCCTCCGTTTCGTTTTATTTGATACCGTTGATTTTTTAGCACATGTTTGACCGCTCGTCTCATTCAAAAAATTTAAATAATTATTAATTTTTTTCCTATCATTTGATTCATTGTTAAATATATTTTTATGCATATGTATAGTTTTACATATTTCACAAAAGTTTTTGAATAAGACGAACGGTCAAACATATGCTAAAAAATTAACGGTGTCAAATAAAACGAAACTGAGGGAATAATAGATAAGAAGAATGGTCAACATATTAAGAAGTCAACGGCGTATCAGTTAAATTCCCCTCTGATTTTTTGACCTGCTCTACCTGAAATTCCCCATTTCACGTCTCTTCCGTGCCGGACTGCCACTCGCCGGATTTCACATCCTGCAATCGACCAGCCCGGTGAGCACCGGCGAGTCGCCGTGGAGGCCACCTCCGGTTGCTCCGTCAGGCGACGCGCGGCTCGGCTCCTGCGCGGCGCTGCATCCACGGCTTCTTCCAACTCCAAGTGAGTGCGTACTGACTAAGCAACAAAGATATCTTTGGCCGTAACCATGGCGAGCGCCTCCAGTGGTGCGATCAACTCCCTCCTATCCAAGCTCGCCGCGCTGATGGGGGAAGAGTACGGCAAGCTGAGAGGCGTCCGGAAGGAGGTGGCTTCCTTGGAGGACGAGTTGAGAAGCATGAGGGCCCTTCTTGAGAAGCTCGCCGCCATGGATGAGCTTGATGGTCAGGCCAAGGAGTGGAGAGACCAAGTGAGGGAGATGTCCTATGACATTGAGGATTGCATCGATGATTTCTTGCATCAGCTTGACAAGAACAATGGAAGCAATGGATTTGTTCACAAGACGGTTAAATTTCTGAAGGAGATAAGGGCACGCCATCAGATTGGTAACAGTATTCAGGAGATCAAGAACCTTGTGAAAGAGGTGAGCGAGCGCCGCATGAGGTACAAGATTGATGAGTATACCCCCAATTCCAGACATGTTCCGGTTGACCCGCGAGTGGTCGCAATCTATTCGGAGGCGGCTGGCCTTGTTGGAATTGATGCGCCAAGAGATGAGCTCCTCAAATTGCTGATGGGTGAAGAGCAAGGGCTGAAGGTGGCTTCTATTGTAGGTTTTGGAGGTGTAGGCAAAACCACGCTTGCAAAGGAAGTGTACCGCAAGCTTGAAAGGAAATTTGACTGCGGCGCGTTTGTGTCGGTATCTCAAAAACCTGACATACCAAAACTTCTCAATAGAATATTATTGGAAGTTAGGGGGCAGTGCTCTGTGCACAACACCAATTTGGATGGGATTCTCAATGATATCATAAATAGTCTGCGGGATAAGAGGTAATGATTCTCATGTATCATACTATGTTTGCAGTCATAAGCTTTTGTTTTTGTCAAAAAATGAAATTACATAAGTAGATTTAAATTGTTCATTATCTAAAAAAACCATCTAAATTCTAGGTGAAGTCCTATAAAATTATCAGGCCTACAAAGCTATAACTTGAAAGGGTAAATGCATGAAAATTCTGATTCCTACTTTTACGTTCGTTCCAATTCTTGTAGATTGTGCTCATAATAACTTGAATTATAAGTACTTCGAATTTAAAAGCTTTAAGTGTTGAAATTCAATTTGCAAGTTCAGGCGGCAATACAAAGATTTCTGACACTCAGAATATGAAACTGATTTTTCAATACTAATGTACAAAGGTTAAGTAATGAATGCGCTTCAAACTTTGAATGTCATATGCAAAATAAGGTGAGTATAAATGGATAAAAATTCTACTATCACTACTTTAAAGTGCTACATTCCAAAGTTCCCTTAAGTTCATTAAATTAGGGCCCCATCATTTTGCTTTTTTTCTAATAAGCCAAAATGACTTATTAGGAAATAAAAATAAATTTGTAGGTAAAACTTTTATATATGTGTTCTTGGTAACTTAAAAGCCAATGCTGAAAAAGAAACTACGTTGAAAATATCTCAAAATCAATCTCAAAATTAAGTTTGAAAATTTAAAATTTGGCTTTTTCTTTGGCTTAATGGGCCATCCGATGGGAGCCTTATACTCCCTCTGTTTCAGGTTAAAAGACGTTTTGACTTTGGTCAAAGTCAAACTACTTCAAATTTGACAAAGTTTATAGACAAATATAGTAATATTTATAATACCAAATTAGTTTCATTAAATCAATAATCGAATATATTTTCATAATAAATTTGTCTTGGGTTGAAAATGTTATTATTTTTTCTATACACTTAGTTAAACTTGAAGCAGTTTGACTTTAACTAAAGTCAAAATGTCTTGTAACCTGAAACGGAGGGAGTACATTGGGATGATTCATTGGCCGGGAATTCTTATGTTCTATTTATAAAGAAAGCATGAAGTTAGATGAATTTCAATGTTCCTTTTTTCTATTGACCCCGTGAGATAATTAGTAATTCATTTTATTTCACTTGCCGAAAAGCTATTCCTCTAAATAGATATATGTAAGACACTTTGCACAATTTCATCTATGTACTACATTACGTTGATACTGTGTAGAGAAATCCATGAAATTTTTTGGCAGGTACTTCATTGTGGTAGATGATTTATGGGATTCCTTTGAGTGGAACATTATTAGATGTGCTTTTCCAGAGAACAAGTATGGCAGCAGGGTATTAACAACTACACGAATTTTGTCTGTTGCTACCACCTGTTGCTCCAACAGTCAAGCGTATATATATAAGATGAAATCACTTACTGACCAAAATTCACGAAATCTCTTTTATAGTAGAATATTTGGATCCCATGAAGCTTTCCCTAATAAATTTGAAGAGGTTACAACTAATATTCTAAAAAAGTGTGATGGCTTGCCACTTGCAATCATCAGTATAGCTAGCCTTCTATCTGGTCAACCATATATCACCTGGGAATATGTAAATAATTCTATGAGGTCCATGTTTGAAGGAAATCCTACCTTGGGTGGAATGAGGCAGATACTGGAACTGAGCTACAATAACCTTCCTCACCATCTTAAGACATGCCTTCTATATGTCAGTATGTATCCAGAGGACTACATAATAAAGAAGAATGATTTGGTAAGACAATGGATAGCTGAAGGCTTCGTGAGTAAAATCAGTGGTCTAGATGTGGATGATGTTGCAGGTAGCTACTTCAATGAGCTTATCAATAGGAGCATGGTTCAACCCATATATACAGATTACAATGATGAGGTGTTATCCTGCAGAATACATGATATAATGCTGGAAATTATCAGGTCGAAGTCTGCCGAGGAGAACTTCTTTTCTGTAATAGATGATCGTACTGTGGCACCAGGACTGCACACGAAGATCCGTCGAGTTTCTTTCCACTATGCTGATGAAGAGGACGGTGTGATACCAGCATCAAACAATAGATCACTGTCACAAGTTCGTTCAGCTGCATTTTTCAAAAACAGTTTTAGGCCTTCATCCTTGGAGTTCAAATATGTGCGAGTTCTACTTCTTGAATTTCCTCGGAGATGGAGGGGAAAAAGAGTGGACCTTACAGGTATCTGTGGATTTTCTCTGCTGAGATATTTAAAGATTTCACATGATGTCAAGTTGGTGCTACCTAGCCAACTTGGTGGGATGTGGCATTTGGAGACAATTGAGCTGCATACATCAGAAGAATTGAGCATTCCATCAGATATTGTTAGTTTGCCCCATTTGTCACAGCTGTTTATTCCAGCAAATACAGTTCTGCCCAATGGGATTGGCGACCTGAAATCCTTGCGTAACCTAGAGTGGTTTGATTTAATAAAAAACTCAATGAGCAATATTGAATGCCTTGGTGAGCTGACCAACTTAAGAGATCTTAAACTTGACTGCAGCAGTAGTGAGCCCTTGGAGGATGTGACTAGCCGTATTGAAGCCCTGCGCTGTTCCCTTGAACGACTCTCGCGATCTTCCGGCAGCCTCAGGAACATCGTTCTGCTGAAACATTTTCCTTCATGGTTGCAGGTTGATGGCTTGAGCACACTGTCCCCTCCACCGCGCCATCTCTGGAAGCTCCATCTGGAACGTTGCTTGTTTTCCAGGATACCCTCATGGATCGTACAGCTTCGTGACCTTCACAGCTTGAAGCTTACGATTAGGAAGGCATTGCCCATGGATGATGGTGTTACTATTCTTGCATGTTTACCTTCCCTTGTTCACCTCGACTTGAGGCTTCTAGTGTGCCCAGAAGAAAGAGTCATCTTCTCCGGTACGGGCATGGCATTCCGAGCTCTCAAGCACTTGCTGTTCAGGTGTCATAAGCCATTCCTGGACTTCAAAGCTTGTTCTATGCCCAGGTTACAGAAGCTTGAGCTATGGCTTGATGCAACGGGATGGTAGAAATGCAGCGGCACTTGCTTACCTGTTGGCATTGATCACCTGCCAGCATGCCTAAGAGAAATTCACATAAACCGGGATTATGGTGCTGACAGACGTGACATAGAAACTGCAAAATCTGCGCTGAGTAGCTTATTTGCCACACATCATCCTGGTGCTGGCTTGATTTTTGGAGGTGCACCTTGGAATTATCCTTCTAATGACCCTGACCAGTGGTGACTACTTGTGAAAGAAAGATGCGGTTTGGAAGGCTTGAACAGTTGAACCCATTGACTTCACTTGATAAAAGTGTCCGAGCTATTCTCTAACCGGAAACAAGTTGCTAAGATTTTGTTGACGAGAATGCACAAGAGAGAGGATCAATGAGAGGAGAGAGTGAACAGAGAGCAAGCATTTGAATGATGAACAGCGATGACCGACAAGTTAAGTTGAACGCCAGTTCAAGTGGTGAGATGCTGTCCTTTTTGTGTACTGCAATTCAGGTCATACTGTTTTTCTTATTTTTGTTGTTTCTAACCAGCCCTTTGTCTTTGAAGAATGAAAATGAAGTGTGCTTTGCAGCATCCTGGAAAACCATAAATATAGTGGACTGCAGTGCTAGAGAGGAAGAATGCTTCTAGACTGTAGACCAGCAGGAAACAAGAAAAAGGTAGAATCTTTATGCTTCCTCTCTGTCCCATTTTTAGCTTTTTCCATTTGTCCCAAAATAAGTTCACTATTGCATCGGAGTTTGTGAAAGTAAGGAATAATTGTATTGGGAGTAGATAAATTGAGGAATAGTTGTATTGAGATTTGATAAAGCAGGGGCATTGTAGTCTTTTTGCTTTTGTATCGACCACTATAACTATATAGCATCAGGTAGATCATTTACACCACCGGCTTCAGTTCCATTAGTCTTTCTGCTTGGTTATTCCTCTTGCTGTAGGTCTCTTCATCTCTTCATGTTGAGATTCCTTTGGAAACCACATGCAAGTTAAGGACACTAGCCAACAAAAACTAGCACAAAAGACATCCATAACCCTGTATTTAGTACACCTCTTCTCCTCAAACAATCTCCTATGTTCATTGGTGTTTCATTAATAATCCCCACATCCCTGAGAACACACTCTTTGTATTTACAATACCATTTATAGATTTCGACGTTGGAAAACTAAATTCTTATAGATGATTGTGAATTTGTCCTTCAACTCTTCGTCCAAAACAAAAGTTTCTAAGTTTGACAAGACTAATAGATACGAATGGGTGAAACAGAAACAAAGCCCCTTTTTTTTATGATTGCAAGTCTCATGTGGGATGAGGATCCAGTCAAACTAGATACGTAGATACCATGTCAGTTGAAACCATCATCCAAACCGTCTTAGGATTAAGTTTGCAACAGTTTCAGGAGTTGAAAGGCGCGTTATATTAAGTATTTTGGTACGTGGATCAACCTAAGGGATCTATGGTGAACTTATTCCATTCAGGAAAAAGGAAAATCGAAGGCCTGGCCCAAAAGGGCAGGCCCATAGCCATAGCAGCACTTGCCACCCCCCCCCCCGATGTCCTGAACCACTAGACGATAGGGCCATATACAACCGCTCCTCATTATACTATAATGATAGTATGAGCAGTTTTTTGGAATTGTCGATATACTCGAAGAGTATAACTAGATCCAAAGCAAGGAGTCCTTCCTACTTTTCCATTATGCTTTTGTAGGATTTTTTTTAGTTGATGGTTAGGTTAATTCACGGATCATCCCCTACTTTTTAGGGAAATTCGTTTATAAAGGATATGGAATCCCCCCCATTATGTAGGGTTTCTCCTCCTTGTTTATCCATCTGCCGCCGCTCGCCTATCTACGCTGCCGGGGCACGCACCGCCTCCGATCTGCCGGGTACGCTATCTTCTCTCTTCCTGAAGGGCTCTAGACCCTCCCTTCTTCTTCTCTGCTATGCACATTCTTAGCCATTTCATTTACTTGTTTGCTGGCATCAGATTCAGATGGGTAGTTGGGTCATCGGGCCTGCTCCGGAGATTTCTGAGCTAGATGAGCGGGCTGCCATGTACCGTGATAAGAGGAAGGCCATGGATTACGTCAGGAATTGGATTTGCCCCGGGTGTAGGAAGGAGTACGAGCCTATCAAGAATATGCTTGTAGACTTGCCTCCATTCGGGTGTGTTGACTGTGGTTTGAAGGTAAACTAGCTCCATTTCATCTTTTTCACATCTTTAATGCTTTTTTACTTCGTGAAGAAGTTTTAAATACAAGATATTTGTACATGGCCATTTTTTACTTGCATTTTCCTCTCTCTTTTTTAAACTAGCTCCATTCATCTCTTTCACATCTTTAATGTTTTTTTACTTCTCTCTCTTCTAAACTAGCTCCATTCATCTTTTTCACATCTTTAATGCTTTTTTACTTCGTAAAGAAGTTTTAAATATAAGATATTTGTACATGGCCATTCTTTACTACCATTTTCCTCTCTCTCTCTCTCTCAGAACGATGCAGCTTACGAGTGGAAGATAACTCAATGTACACTCAATGGTATTTCTTTGGATTTTAAGACCTATGATCAAAAACTTGAACGTAAGTATACTATTCCGATCCCTATTATTTATTTTGAGTAAATTTTATTTTGGTAAACTTTCATTGACCAAGGTTACTTATCTTTTCCCGTAACACCATATATAGTTACCATCATTTGCACTTTGGACTGGATTTCACAAATTACACATTGTACATTGATTGTAGATGTGATTTTATTTCTTATTTGTGTTAGAGAACTTAGAATTCAACACAGTTTTTGGTGCTCCTTTTATCATCTGAAACCATTTTTATTTGTTTCATCTAATTTTTATTATCATTATTTCATTTATTTTTACTTTTCTTTTGGATACACTTATCCTACTACATTTCCTGTCTCTTTAACACGAATACCTTTTAAAATTTTCCCTGTATTTTCATTTCAGCACATTGTACTCTATATGCAATTACTGCGGTAATTGATTGTACCCGTAGACTGGAAGGAGCACAAAAGGGATTTGTGTTTTCTGCTCCATTTGATATAAATGAGATGGTTGAGACATATAACAAAAGGACTGGTTTTAAACTAGGAAATGAACCTCAAGATAAGTTATATGAGACTTATGATAATTGTCCAATTGTCATGGAAGTTCTAAAAAGTGATGGGATTGCTATATTGATTGGAGCTTCTGATGTTACAACAACTCCAGTCCCACGCCTTAAGATTCAAAGTTATTTTCGTGTTGACCCTAAGGATGTTCTTTATATAACTAGATTGTTGGCAGGAGGCTTCCCATTAGTAGCAGGGATTCGTCACGGTTTCCTATTTAATTACTTAAGTGATGGTCAGTATTATTGTGCCCCAACATGTGAGAACACTAGTGATGCTCATGCAGTTGCTTTGATCGGATGTGGAGTAGGGTCTAATGGCAACAAAACAGAAACATTTTACAAGGTTAGAAATTCTCACGGGATAAAAGCTCATTCTCATTATCAGAAGAGAGAGTTTGGTGGAGACTTCATTGTGTGGTCATCTGACGTTACTGATGTCTGGGGTTTGTATTTAGCCCAGCATGAATGTTGATGTTGCGTGACTCTACCAAGTGTATGGGGTTTGTATTTAGCACAACATAAATGTTTGATGTTGTGTGACTATCAAGTGTATGACTGTATCGCTTGATTATTAGTTTGAGAAACTATGTCTATGTCTGGGGGGGTTTATGAATGTTATGTTGTGTGACTACTAAGTAAGTGTTTGACTGTATGCTTGATTATCTTGAAGAACAAATTATTTGTCTTATATATTCGCGCCACTCTTTTAATTATGTATTTTATTGTTCTAATCATGCATTATATATATATATATATATATATATATATATATATATATATATATATATATATATATATATATATATATATATATATATATATAACTAAAGGAAAATGATGCCAGCTAAGTTTGTTTACTCGGCCTTTTCCAGATCCAGTCTGCTCGTAATGCACGTGGTGGGTTTCGTCCTTCTGTGATATTCACCGGCCTGAATATCCGGAACGACAAAGATTTCCAGGTATAGCTCAAACCAACAAAATCTATAACTTAACTAATTAAAAGATTCATAATCTTCCAACCGTCACCTAATTTTTGTCGGTATGCGTGATTTTTCACTCATCCGTGCAATTCGTTCCTCCCAATCGTTTGAGTCCGAGTCTGTCTTAAAAAAAAATAATCCACAAGCTAGATCTCCAAATCAATCAATCAACTAGACAACCAAAAACAACACGCAAATACCAAATTTAATCTCGACCTCGTGAATTTGTTCCCCACAAGAAACCTAATACCCATGTATTACCTCCCTCCCAAATCCGATCCATCTAAGTGACAATGTAGAAATGATAGAATCCGAGGCTGCGGTACAAAGGTAGCAGGAGGCACGTCGGGTTGCAGGCGACGTGCGGTGGCGGAAGTGCTTGGTGCAGTCGTAGGCCTTGTGGACGAGCTTGACGTGGGACGGCGGCAATGACGGCATCAATCCTTGCGCTGCTTTCTAGGCGGGCGGCACGGAGGACGGTGAGGCGGCGCGGCTCCGTAGCCCTTCCTCCCGCCAGATCTGGCTAAGGGAGGGTGCCTCCGGGCATCCGCCGCTCCTCCCGCTGTACACCGCGGAGGGGAGGGCGCAGCCATCGCCGTCGCCGCCGCCGCTGGGCCGCACCGTCTCCACCCGCCGCTGCCGCCCGTCAACCGCCGCCTCCCCTCTTGCACTGCCGCCTCGGAGAGAGGAGAGCGAGAGAGAAGACCAAGAGAGAGAGGAGAGGAAAATGAGAGAGTAAAAAAATTAGATGGATCTCGGTGCCTTATCTCCTCGGTGGGCCCTGGCGGCTCGGCTTTGGCGCTGTGGATGGTTGGATAAGACTCGGCTCGGTTTTCATAGGTACCGGTTTTTTACCAGCACCTATAAGATATTATAGGTGTCGGTTTTAAACTAACGGACACCTATAATATTTTATAAGCGTTAGTTTTTTTTTAAAAAAGGCACCTCTTAATAGAACTAATTAAAATTTCCGATCGTCACCTTGTCCCTCAACACGTTAATTTTTCGTCCGTCCCCCCCCTTAAAAAAAATCCCTCGTCCGCAACATCTGAGATGAGACTCCAAGACAAAAAAAAAATCATCCAGAGTTCGCATCAACAACCAAATGCATGATGGATTCTGTGAAAATTCATCGCAAACATAGACACAAAATCCAATAGGACAACCAAGCGAAAGAGGAAAAAAATCATCACCGGAAGCCACCGCCACCGTCGTAGCTGTCAAATCCGATGCGGGAAGCCAGCGCCACCGCCACGCGTGTAGCCATCGGCGCAGTCGGTGCCACCAAATCTGCGGCTGCCGCCGTCGCCGTCAGATTCAACGCGGGAGTCGTCGCTGCAGGTGGATCGGGCCGTGGGAAGTCGCTAGCACCATCATTGCCATCGGATCCACCGCGGGAAGCTGCCGCCACCGCCAGACTGGGCCGTGGGAAGCGGCCAACACCTTCAGTGCCGCCGGATCTACCCGCGGGAAGCCGCCGCACTGAGAGGCACCGTCAAGAGGGGAGGGGAGGGGGAGGGGGAGGGGGAGGAGGAGGAGCGGTGCCACCGGTCGGGAGAGGGGAGGGGAGGGGTAGAGGCACCGCTGGGTGGGGAGGTGTCACGCCCAGAGATTCGACATCCCGAATCACCGGCTATCTGCACATTTAACCTCTGTCCAGGCATCAACCAGAGTACACGAACGACAATTTGATACAGTTCCACGACTTACAAAAATATAAAATAAACTCACAAACGCATTGGAAAAACTAAAGACTATCTAAACTTAATCTTCACGACAAAAGCGTAGCTTCCTCCAAATCCACAGGCAAAACCTCGACATCTGGCACAAGCTTAATCCTCATAGAACTCACCATCTGATATATTCTCTGCTTCTGGGGGATTGGGAAAAATAAAGCAAGACTGAGTACAACCACCGTACTCAACAAGTCATACCAAGGGGAAGGTATGATGCAATGATATCACGAAGGAATAGGCTATAGGATATTTTGAATGAAAGCAACATTTATAAATCAGAAGTTGAAAGCAGTAAAACAATAGATATAATTAAGCAGCAGTATTAACCATCATCACTATACAACGCTAAGTCCAGATTGAAACAGGCCCAACCAAACCACCTGAACTACACCAGTTCAATAAGTCAAATTATTAAGGTGAGACTAATCACGGTGAGCTGGTTGACTGCCCAATAACCGCGGGCACGGCTATTCGAATAGTTTTACTCTGATAAGAGGTGTACAACTTTACCCACAAGACATGATTCCACACATGTTACCATTCCCCGAAGTACCGCTACGATACTGCAAAGGGGGAAATCGTGACATAACCCTCCATATATCCTCCTCTAACCAACACATCCACCTCCGGTTTCACCCCATCCCTATATAGGCGATGGGCAGTCCCCGCTCGTGCCTAGGTAAATCCGAAAGCAGCATAGACCAATATACAGTTCCATCCATACTCCATCATGCCCACCCTTGCCAACGGTGTGTTAGCTAGAAAAGATTATACTTAGATCAAACCCGGAGCCCATCAGGCTTGTGGATAGTACGAGTTTATCTTCTAGGGATTCCCGAGAACCGGTCCTTAATTGTCATGGGTGCCACTTGCAAAACCATGCACCCACGACCCACCAATATAACATGTTTTAGTTAATTAATTATATACCATGGTGGTATAATATCATAATAATAATAATAATTAAGGACTAAATTATAATGAATCCCATTGTGAGCTAATTGATCTAAGCATGGCTAAGCATTTCTAAACCAATCATCTAGTCAAATTAATATCCCAGGCTATTAATTCAATTAAGGTATTCAAAAGGCTGAGTACGGGTAAATTCCATCCCACATGACATTATGAAAATAATGCAATTTTAAGAGAAAAGCAGGGACTTTGCAAATGGGTACAATATGATCAATGATATTCGTATGACTTTCCTTGCTCTTGAGCTGACAGAACCTTGGCAACCACTTCAAAATAAACTGGAGCATTGGAACTGCTGGATTCTAAACGACAAACAAGGCACACAATAAATACAAGCTATAAAGCTACTGAAACAGCAAAAGAAACCAATTTTAATGGATTCTAGACATTTTAACGAATTTACGGCAATTTGAATGGATTAAAACGGAGCTCGAATGAATTATATATGAATTTTACAAGATGAAATGTGTTATTACTATTAACCGAAAAACCTTATTCATTTATCATATATTAATGCCAAAAAGGAATAGGATCAACGGAAATATAACATTGGTAAGCAAGCCTCATGAGACTCAACGAGTCAATTCTACGTGACACGGGACCATCCAAATGATCAACTGAAACCGGCGAACGGAACCGGCGGCTCTGAACGGTTTCAACTAGGGAATGATTCAAAACAACCGAACGAACAAAGCACGGGACGACACTTCGTTCGAACGAACAGTTAACGGAAAGACGGATGGCTATGACTAAAACGGTAGGCTAGACGCGATTCACGGTAGAGCCTCGGTACGGCAAACGATAGGCGGCAGGGGACGGTGGCTTGGTGGAGGTGGCTAGGGTTTAGTGATTATGTGGGAAATAAGAATGTGATGTGGGGATTGCAGTATGCCCGGCGTCGTGACAGGAATCCTGATCGGCGACAACACGCGTGACGAGTAACAGTGCAATACGAATAGGAATTCGGTTAGATTAAGTTTGTTAGGATTTGTCATTTTATCAGTTTGTTAGGATTTGTCATTTTATCTTCCAAGGTTTGTTAGAGTTTGTTTCTGATTTGTAAGACATCCCCACTATAAGTATTGCGGCAGATGCAGAGTAATAATCAATCAAGCAATTTGTGATCATATCAGTTCTTGCCCTGCCTCGCTGGTGCGTCGCCGATCACGGCACCGCCGCGCCGACGAGGTGCAAGGCCACGTCCCTCCACTTCCTTCAAGTATAACCTTCGACATATTCCTTCATCCAATCTAGCTCGTGACATCTTGGTATCATATTCCTCTGGTTCCGATTCCATGGCCTCCACACAAAACCAGTTAGATGAGATAGCAAAAAACCTCACCTCCATGGCTGCCCAAATTTCTGATCTCGCTCGCAAGATGAGTGCGCTGGAGCCATTGGTGCCGCTCGCAGCAAAGCTTGATGCATTGCCGGACCAGGTGACTCAAGTCCAGGCGTCTGCATTTGAATATTCGGAGCAGGTCCGTGCGCTTCACCTCGCCGTCCAGCACCGGGTTCCTCTAGCTCCGCGCCTCGCCAGCCGCACGACGACAAGCCATTCGACGACACCGACGCGTGACGCGAACGCCACGGCGACGACATGGCGGTCGACAACAACTTCCTGCCTCGCACCAAGCTCGAGTTTCCCACGTACGATGGCAAGGGCGATCTGCTACCATGGCTAAATCACTGCGAGACCTTCTTCCGCGGCCAGAAAACTCCGGACTCCCGCAAGGTTTGGTACGCGTCTTTGCATCTAATAGGAGACGCTCACTTATGGTATTACAGGCTCGAGCTCGATTCCAGCGAGCCGTCGTGGCGGCGTTTTGTCCGGTTGGTGCATACGCGGTTTGGACCGCCCATGACGGACAGTCTACTTGGCGAACTAACGGCGCTGCGGCGCACCGGCACGGTCGAGGACTAGGTCAACAGTTTCCTCGCCCTGGTGTGCCGCGACGTCGAGCTCTCCGAGCCCCAGCAGATTCAACTCTTCATGGCGAGCCTCGTCAACCCCCTCAAGACGGACGTCGCGCTTCGCCGACCATCCACTCTCGACGACGCGATCATGCTCGCCCAGGCATACGAACAACGCCTCCACTTGGGCGCCACCGACCCTATTCCCGAGCGAGCTGTCCGCGCACTGCGCATGGTGCTGCCTGCACCATCCACGGCGTCTTCAACGCCATCAACTGACGCTGCGTCGACGACCGCATCCGGCAAGCAGCCCCTGGTGGCAGCACTTCCACGCAAGCACCTGTCACCGGTAGAGATGGCACAACGACGCACCGAGGGCCTCTGCTACAACTGTCATGAAAAGTACGTTTCCGGGCAACACTGCGAGAAATCCTTCATCATCGAGGTCATCAGCTTCCCCGACGACACGGAGGGCGAGGACGACCCGCCACCGGCGGCCAACACAATCTTGGCTGACGCTGGCAAGCTGCTCATCTCCTTACACGCCCTGGCCGGTATCCGCGCACTCATGTTCAACACCATCAAGGTGTGTGCATGCGTCGGGACGGTGGACTACCTCGCTCTCCTCGACTCCGGCTCCATGCACAACTTCCTCAGCGAGACGGTAGCACACGTGCGAATATCATCCTCTAGCCGTGCCCCGGCCTCCGTGTCACCGTCGCGAATGGCGACCGCGTCGCCTCGCTGGGACGCTGCCCGGCATAGCACGTCGTCATCGGCACGTCCGCTTTCGACGTTGATTTCTACTCCCTTCTGTTGGGAGGGTATGACATCGTCCTGGGCGCACATTGGCTCGGCACGCTCGGTCCGACGCTGTGGGACTTTGCTGACCAATCGTTTTCGTTCGGCACAGGTGACAACAAAGTGACATGGGTTAGCGTTGACGCTCCGTCACCCTTAACACATGTCATCGCTCTCGACGGTGCGCCAGACGAACTGATGGCTGAGGTGCTCGACGACTTCCGCATTCTCTTCAACGACCCGCACGGTCTACCACCGGAGCGCCACTTGGGTGTCCGCCGTAGCCGTCCGGCCCTACCGCTATGCCCACATCCAAAAGGATGAGCTTGAGCGACAGTGTGATGAGATGCTTCGCTAAGGCGTCATCCGGCCAAGTTCGTCGGTGTTCTCATCTCCGGCATTGTTGATCAAAAAGAAGGATGGCTCGTGGCGATTCTGCGTTGACTACCGGGCTCTCAACGACAAGACAATCAAGGATAAATTTCCTATCCCGGTGGCGGAGGAGTTGTTCAACGAGCTGCGCGGCGCCAGGTTCTTCACCAAGCTCGACATGCGCTCCGGCTATCACTAAGTACGCATGCATCCAGATGACGTCCACAAGACGGCGTTCTGCACTCACCAAGGGCTGTTCGAGTTCCTCGTCATGCTGTTCGGCCTCACCAACGCCCCGGCGACGTTTCAAGCACTAATGAACAACATGCTCCTACCCTTCCTCCACCGGTTCATGCTCGTTTTCTTTGACGATATACTTATCTACAGCTCGACATGGGCGGAACACCTGCGGCACGTGCGCACTGTCTTCCAGACGTTGCAGGATGATCACCTCCATTTGAAGCGCTCCAAATGTGAGTTCGGGCTGACCGCCGTATCCTACCTGGGCCACCTGATCTCTAGCGATGGTGTCGCCATGGACCAGCACAAGATCTAGGCCGTCCTCAGCTTCCTCGGCTTGGCGGGCTACTACCGCCGTTTCATCCGCAACTTCGGCACCATCGCGGCGCCCTTGATGGCCCTGCTCCGCAAGGAGGGCTTTCACTGGAATGAGGCGGTGGCGACGGCATTCAGCGAGCTGCAACACGCCCTGACGGCCGCACCGGTGCTCCAGTTGCCGGACTTCACCACCAATTTCATCGTCGAATGTGACGCATCAAGATCTGAGTTTGGCGCGGTGCTTCATCAAGGTGGCGGGCCGGTAGCGTTCTTCAGCAAACCCATCGTGCGCCGCCATGCGAAGCTCGCTGCATACGAACGCGAGCTCATTAGCTTAGTACAGGCGGTCAGGCATTGAAGACCCTATCTCTGGGGCAGATGATTCATCGTCCGTACAGATCACTACAGCCTCCGTTTCTTCCTTGATCAGCGCCTATCAATAGTGCCGCAACATCAGTGGGCTAGCAAGCTTCTCGGCTTCGACTTCGCGGTGGAGTACAAGCCGGGGTCAACAAATGTCGTGGCAGACGCACTGTCACGTTGCGACGAGCACACCACAGAAGCGTTCCTGCTTTCTTCGCCGACTTTCGGGCTATTCGACGACCTTCGCCGTGAGGTGGCCACGACGCCGGCACTGATCAGCCTCACCGAGGACATCCGCAAGGGCCTCAAGCCGCCACAATGGTCACTGACGGAAGGCCTCATCACCTTTGCGGGACGTGTCTTTGTGTCATCCTCGTCGCCACTGCTTCCAGTGATTTTGGAGCTTGCCCACGACATCGGCCATGAGGGCACCCAGAAGATGTTGGCTCGCCTGCGCGCCGACTTCCACATTGCTCGTGACCACACCACCGTCCAGGAGTTTGTGCGTGCCTGCCTAGTTTGCCAACGCAACAAAACGGAGCAGCTACAGCCGGCGGGTCTGCTCCAGTCTCTTCCGGTTCTGTCGGCTGTGTGGGCTGACATTGCTATGGATTTCATCGAAGGATTGCCCCGAGTGCACGGCAAGACAGTCATTCTCATAGTTGTGGACAGATTTTCTAAGTTCGCCCATTTTATTCTGTTGGCACGTCCTTACACGGCAACTACGGTGGTAGCATCCTTCTTTGCTGAGATCGTGCGTTTGCACAGGATTCCGACGTCCATTGTGAGCGATCGAGACCCCATCTTCACCAGCAATTTTTTTGGGGAACTCTTTCATCTCTCAGGTGTTCAACTGAATTTCACATCTGCTTTTCGTCCACAATCAGACGGACAATCAGAAGTCACCAACAAGATTATTGCCATGTATATCAGATGTCTTTCCGGGGATCGTCCTCGGCAGTGGTTGCGTTGGCTACCGTGGGCGGAGTTCTGTTACAACACTTCATATCATGCTTCACTTCGAACTTCTCCATTCCGAGTGGTATATGGCCACACACCCCCTGTTCTTCGCTCTTATGAACCGGGTTCAGCTCGATTGCCGGCAGTTCAGCAGTCCTTGCAAGAGCGTGATGAATTCCTGGCAGCTATCCGTGAAAGGTTGGAGCAATCTCAGCAGCAATACAAGTCCGTTTACGATCATAGGCATCGTGAGGTGGAGTACGCAGTCGGGGATTGGGTGTGGCTCAGATTACTTCATCAGCCGGTCGCTTCTCTCAATGTCAAGGGGCGTGGCAAACTTGAACCGAAATTTTATGGGCCGTATGAAGTTCTGGAGCGCATCTGTGCTGTGGCCTATCGGCTGCGTCTTCCTCCTTCTACTAAGTTGCATGATGTGTTTCATGTGGGCTTGCTCAAACTGTTTCGGAGGACTGTTCCTGATCACATTCCGCCATTGCCTCACGTCGTGCATGGCCGTGCATGTTTGGAGCTGGACAAAGTTCTTCAGAGTCGTCTTGCTCGGGATGTTCGTGAACTGTTGGTGCAATGGAAAGGACGTCCAGCGGCTGAAGCTTCGTGGATGCCCTTCGATGAGTTCTGCGCTCTTTATCCCAGTTTTCAGCTCAAGGACGAGCTGCTTCTCTAGGGGGGAGAGATGTCATGTGGGCACTGCAGTATGCCCGGCGTCACGGCAGGAATCTTGATCGGCGACAACACGCGTGACGAGTAACGGTGCAATACGAATAGGTATTCGGTTAGATTAAGTTTGTTAGGATTTGTTATTTTATCTTCCGAGGTTTGTTAGAGTATTGCGGCAGATGCAGAGTAATAATCAATCAAGCAATTTGTGATTATATCAGTTCTTGCCCTGCCTCGCTGGTGCGTCGCCGATCACGGCACCGCTGTGCCGACGAGGTCCAGGGCCACGTCCCTCCACTTCCTTCAAGTATAACCTTCGACATATTCCTTCATCCACTCTAGCTCATGACATCTTGGTATCAGATTCCTCTGGCTCTGATTCCATGGCCTTCACACAAAACCAGTTAGATGAGATAGCAAAAAACCTCACCTCCATGGCTGCCCAAATTTCTGATCTCGCTCGCAAGATGAGTGCGCTGGAGCCATTGGTGCCGCTCGCAACAAAGCTTGATGCATTGCCGGACCACGTGACTCAAGTCCAGGCGTCTGCGTTCAAATATTCGGAGCAGGTTCGTGCGCTTAACCTTGCCCTCCAGCGCATCTCTCCTGCGCCGGGTTCCTCTAGCTCCGCACCTCGCCAGCCGCACGACGACAATTCGAAAAAAATTCTCCCTGACAATTCCGGTTATTAAATATATTGTTAATTAGAGTTTTCTCCTGGTTAACCAAAGTGATTTCTATAGACCATTTATTAGTGAATTGAAATCTAAGGAAAGGGAAAACTCCGGGTGTGACAAACTTACCCCCCTTAAACGGAATCTCGTCCCCGAGATTCGAACGAACTGGCGAAGAGATGGGGATGGGCGGCTTTCAACTCATCTTCTCTCTCCCAAGTTGCTTCATCCTCCGAATGATGGCTCTACTAAACTCTGTAAAACTTGATCACCTTATTTCTAGTTCTCTCATTGGTCTCCAAAATACACGTAGGCTTCTTCACATAAGTCAAATCCTCTTGAATCTCAACATTATCTGGAACGTCTCAGTGTCGGTGGTGAAAGCTGTGTTGCGGTAGAGGCCCGGGCACGATACGTATTCTCCATTGGCGACCATGACCTGCATCTTGCCGTTAGGAAGGAGCTTGAGCTTGGTGAGACTCGCAGCAGCCGTGGAGACGAAGTTGTGTGTGAAACCCGAGTCGAGCAATGCGAGGAGGTTGGTGCCGCCCATGTTGATGTGCACTTGCATGGTGTCGTTGAAGCGGACGCCGGCGATCGCGTGGAGCGAGACGTGTGTGTTAGTTCCTCCTGTCTCCTCGGGTGTGCTGTCGTCGTCGTTGTTGTCATCTGGCGTGGCCAAGTTGAGGAGGAAAAGGTGCTAGCATACGTGGTTATGCTTGCGTGAGAACTTGTCATTGCAATTGAAGCACAGCCCGAGGCGGCATCGTTCTTCCATCTCTGCCTGGGAGAGGCAGTTGACCGTGCGGCCCTCGACGGTCACTGTCGCTTGGGCCGGTGCAGTCGGCGGCGCCGGCGCCGGAAGAGCCAGCCGCTGTGGCGGCGCGGGCAGGAGGCCACACCGGTTGTGGTGCTGGGGCGCGGCGGTAGCGGCGCACTGGTCGCGCAACTCGAGCTTGCGGCCGAGACTCATGGTGAAGGCGAGTGACTACGGGCTGTGGATCTCCACGTCGAGGCTGAGTGGCGGTTGCAGTCTGACCGTGAAGATTTGGACGCGTTGTTCCTTCGTCAGCTTGCCCGTGCACGGAAGGAGCACCTCAAACCTGTCTTGGTAGTCGACGACGGAGCCGGTGCGCTTGTAGGCCATGAGCTCGTCGGGGGGGTTGGAACGCAGTGGAGGGCCGAAACGGAGATGAAGCAGCTCGGTGAAGTGATGCCATGGCGGGGTGCCCTCGTTTTGCTGAACTTGGATGTACTATAGCTGTGCGCCGTCTTCTAAATTGTATGAGGCCATCCAAACCTTCTCCTCCTCCGCGATCTGCTGCTGGTGAAAGTAAGATTCACAACGGTTGATGAAGGCGAGAGGATCAGACTTGCCGTCGTATTTGGGAAAATCCATTTTTTGGAATCGCGGTGGCCGGTTGTTGTGGTGCTCGCCGATGGACTTGGTGGTGGAAGAGGATGCCTGCTGGAGTGTGGTGACGGACGCCTGGAGCTTGTCGACGGTTGCCGAGAGCGCCTTGATGAGCGCGGCAAGCTCGGCGGCGGTGGGCTCGGACATGGCCGAAGAAATGTAGGGCGTTGGCGATGGTGGTGCGTCGGCTGGTGGTGAGGGCGTGTTGGAGTGGGAAGAGGAACGCCTGGAAGCGTTGTCAAGCGCGTTACCGTTGAGGATAGCCGGACCACAGCTACGGAGTTCGTAGCCAGGATCAGGTGCGGCGGCAGGGTTCTTCCATGCACGCTCAATGGTGGAAAGAGGAGGATTAGGGAAGGAGGGAGATTAGGAAATTTGGTTTCATATTGCTTGCTTGCAAATGTTGCTGATTACATGCCTTATAGGCACTTGGTCTCTAATACAAGGAAATGACATTTATTTTCTCCTAATTAATACTTTCCTTGCATGATTCTTTCTAATTTGCACCCTTGACTCATGCTGCTTGCTGCATTTGCGCCTCCGGCTTGCTCCTGTGGTGGTAGTGGTGTCCCCACATGACATAATCGTTTTCTAATGTCAAAGCCAATTTGACCTCCATAGTAATTCCAATAGTTTTGAGCCTCATCTACAGTGCTAAATGTCATGCGCATCTGGGGTACCTAGCTAGGTATAGTTTTCTTCTTCTATCTATCTACCCTATAGTTCAACAAATCCTTTTACTCATTCATCATTCATCATGTTACACATCCAATGGTCCAAAATCATCCAATCCAACGCCTCAGATTACTCCACATCTCCCCCTCCTCTCCTCCCCGCACCCCCATCGCTCTCCACCACGCCCCCATTGCGCCTACGCCCTCCCCCTCTTTCAGGTTGCCGCCCCCGCCGATTCCCTCGCGATTCCCAACCCTAACCCCCGCGCCACCGCCCCTGCCACTCAGGATCCCCCGCCTCTCCCGCACCGCATCCGCGCCTACCTCACCCCCACCCCAATATCGCCACGATCTCCTCTCCTCGCGTCGAGACCCCTACTGCTGACGCAAAGGAGCCCGAGGAGGAAGATGAAGAACAAGGAGGCCGACGCCGACACCTGCAGCCTGCAGGCAAAGAAGACGACCGACACATTCTTGTATGAGGGAACACCAAAGAAGTCATCCACGCGCGGGCGACCGGGGGCGAACCCTAGCCCCCGGCCGCTGCCACCCTCCCCTCCTCTCACCGCCTCGCCGCCGCCGAAAACCGCGTGGACGCTGGGATGGCGGTGGCGGGGCCAAAAACCCCAGCGGCGGCCCGTCTCCGGTGCGAGGAGGCGGCACAGCGTGCCGGGAAGGCCTCGCGGCGGCGCGGCGTGTGCCTGGGATCCGCCGCCGCTGCCGCTGGATCTGGCCCTTCCGACGCCATCTTCTCCGTCGACGACGACCTCATCGTGCCGTGCTCCACGCTGCGGTTTGCCTTCGCCATGTGGAACCGTCTATATTTATTTTTAATCATGCTCTAAAAACCACTAGCATTGGAACCGTCTATATTTATTTTGAAGATTACATACAATAGCTATATACAGTATGCCATAGTTTCTGGGCTTCATTTTGTAGGAAGAAGATACTAATTGGCAAATGAATTTGAATCTGATCTAGATTTTCTAAATTCCAATATAAGCGATGACTTGTTTGCAAGCCTCAACAGTGTCCCTGACTGACATCAAACACTTGTCACGTAACATTGATCTGCACTAGGTACGAATAAACACCTGTGTATTCAACGTGTTACTGCATTCCTTGTGTATGTTTCTTTTTTATGTTACTTCCAATGTGGACGTCTTTGCATCCTCAGTTCACTGCATTTGTCAGATGAGGTATAGATTTTTTTTTTTTTTGATATTTTTCCCCTTTGCAACTGTTCCCAACTTCTGTATAAATCATTTTGTCTAAAAAGAAAAAGCGAAAAACAAATCCTCTGATCTCATTTTGTCTTTGAGATCTTGCATATTGCAAGAGAAAGCCTGTTTTGTGTTTCAGAAATGCATGCATGATATGGCTGTTCCGCATGATTGCAGAATGCCTGAATAGCTGACTTTCGAGTAGGTTTAATTCCAAATTCAGAACTCTAATTTGAAGTAGGCACCAACTAATATTTTTTCATGAATTGTTTATCCTCTATGTATCATGCTCTGCATTTATGTTTGCAATTATTGTCCTAAATATGCCTGTAGCACATGGTTTAAGAAATTAAAATGGTGGGATGTCATCAGAATTGTGTCTTGAAGTAGTTACAAAACTGTGTACTTAATCGAAGGTTGCTTTTTTGCTTGTTAGTATACTTATGAAACACACAAAATTTTAAATTGTCCCTTTTCTCTCTTGGTTCTCTCAGTCTGTAGAGAGAAGGTTAGGTTTAAGCTGAAGCTTAAGCTCATTGTTATACGGAAATTGTTAAGCTAACATTCTTGAGATTTTCATGTCAGCTTGCTAAAAGTTAAAATGCCTTGTGCACTTATTTTTGTTCATACAGATTAAATTTGTTCCAAGAGAGTGCAAAATTTATATTGTACCATTTATCATTTTTAGATGACTTGCATTTACTATTCGGCAACATATAAGTTGGATCCGAATAGATGACTTAGATCTTTTCTTTCACCACTCTGGTTCGGAGCAAATAAATATTTTTCGTCATCCTGCTCTATTTGTGCTATGACCAATTGTACTATCTTCATGCTTTTCTTGCTTGCAGTGTCCCATTGTTGAAAGGGCATCAGCGCTCTGTCATGGATGATAGTTCAATGAAAATATTAGGAACTACGGATGAAAGTTCACCAGTAGCGCTGGTGCAATTTTCCCATTAAGATATTTTGTCCCGTGATGAAATACATGTTTGTACAGAACGATGATTGTAAAATAAATGTATGATCATGTTAATGGTAATGTAGCATTAAGTGCTGATTAATAACTATTTTGTTTGAAAAGTTTAGCCTAGATTTGGTAAATTGTATCATGTTACTACATGTACGAGAATTTACAGGAATATGAAATTATTTTTAGATGATTAATGTATTACAAATCTTTAAGCATTTGATTGTTCAATTCGCAGTACTAACTATCGCTGTAGCGTTAGTATGGGCATATTACTAGAACAAAAGTGAAGAGGGTAGAGTTAGAGAGAAAGAGATTGACATATGAAAGACTAGATGGTGCATTTTTACAGGAGGCAACAATCACTAATAAATCATAAGAGAATAAGCGGACAACTTAGCACAATACGATATTTAGGTTTTACTTACCTGTTAGTTAGATGCTGCAATTGGCACAATATCGGGCCGTTGAGGAAGTGAAGAATGATGTGCATCATTCTCATTTGTACGGTACCATCCTCCATCATCAGAACTATGAGGAGACGATGCAATCCTCAGTCTATAATCAATCTGTTTTCTTATAAGTACGACACTTTTGTCAGTGGGTTAATGGTAACGAAGATGGAGGGATTATTTTGGCACCAACAGAGGAGTAAACAGAAATTATCTCCCGCTCTCACCACTAGCAATTGCAGGGCTATTTAAGAAATAATCTGCTGATTAATTTTATTTATTATAGACTAAATAATCCACAGCCGTTGCTTTAGAATGAACGTGCCGGATGGAAGGAATGTCACACTGTGACATTACTCCGTAATGTCGGAGGATCTGGATCCGAACCAACAAACCAAAGAGATAGTAAAATCTTAACAAACATTAAACATCCTTTGTGACTTTCATTCAGTTATAATCAGAAGGAAAACCACCTGAATTCCAACATAATTGACAAGTTGAGAAAGCCTGAGAGACTCATAAGCATTGAGCTTCCCCAAAAGTTAGCAACGTCCCCTGATTAGACCTTAAAAGAGTTCATAAGTTCAAAACCATCTAAGAAGACTTCATCTAACCGAACTTCTGAAACAAAATACAGGTCGACCCCTATATAACTATATAGCATCAGGTATATCATCCACCTGAATTCCAACATAATTGACAACAAGTTGAGAAAGCCTAAGAGACTCATAAGCCAGCTTCCCCCAAGTTAGCAACATCCCCTGATTACACCTCAAAAGAGTTCATAAGTTTCAAAACCATCTAAGCGGACTCCATCTAACCAAACTTCTGAAACAAAACATAGGTCGACCCCTATATAACTATATAGCATCAGGTATATCATCCACACTACCAGCTTCCTTTAGCCTTTTCCTTAGTTCTTCCTCTTACCTGATTTGGCTTTTGGAAACCACCTGCAATGGAGATGACACCAACACATTATCAAAATACTAAATCATTCCTCGTCAGCCACAAAGCCATAACCCGGTATTTATCACACCTCTTTTCCTCAAACAATCTCCCATGTTCATTGGTGTTTCATTAATAATCCCCACATCCCTGAGAACACACTCATTGTATCTACAGTCCTATTTACAGATTGTGACTTCCAATCTGGATTCTTAGTTGATTGTGATTTTTTCTTTAAACTCTTTGTCCAAAACAAATTTTTTTTAAGTTTGACAAGAACGGTAGATACGAATGGGTGAAACAAAAACAAGCCCTTGTTTCTGTTTTGATCCCCTTTCATGATCAATAAGTGATGTTGGACTCTTAACAGGCCCCGTTTTTGCTAAGCTTGGATAACAGAACCATAGATACAAATAGGTGAAACAGAAACATACATACGAATGGCGGCCTGGACATCATAGTCAAGGATGGGGGCATAATCATCATCATCAAGATGACTTCTAGCTGCACATGGTGGATGCACAATCGTGCTTGCTTCACCACAGAAGATACAACGACCTGTTCACAACAAAGCCAAGACATAAGGCAAAACAATAAATATATTACACCAATCCAGGGCATTAACATGCATGAAAATTGCAATCACATGCCACAGTGTGTCTACTACTTGACGGAAATAAAATGAGTAGGAACATCACAACAAGGGTTCAGTGACTCACCAAAACAAGGGCTACTATCTTGAACAGGGCAGCACATGGGTTTTGCATGTGATTCATAAAATCGACCAGGTTGTGAGTCCCAGAATTCAGCGAAGAAGAGTCTGCGCACAGTGGTTTGTGCTACGGTTGTCTCACCATTGAACTTGAGCACACTGCCATGGGCGCTTGCCAAGAAGTTAGCATGGTAGCATCCACATCGGGCTGATCTGGGTTCCTCTACTCCGCAGATGAGATCAAGCTTATACCTTGGTTCCTGCAATAACAAACACAAGAGGGTGGATGGAATTTTAGCACACTTGAAGAGAAGCAGGTCCAACAATCAATCAAAATAAGTTTCTACTCTGAATTTACCCAGGGATGTTGCCTAGAATATCTCAGTAGCAACTCTTCCAGCTTGCTGCGAGCAAAACTATGCGAGTTCACATAGGCTGACACTCTCAATGATGCTGACAAGGCTTGTGGATTGAATGGTAGCACTTCTCTTGTCGTGATAATTGTGGTTAGCTGTGTTTTGATCATTTTGTTTAGCTGCTCCCAATCATCACCGGAGATAACACACCCAGAGCCATCACTAATGGATCTCAGAAAGTAGCGCAGGCGGTCGAGCTTCTCGCTGGAGAAGGACACGAGCAGCGCGCCGAGCATGGTGTGCTGTGGGTGCTTGGAAGCCATGGCTGCAGCGGCGTAGGGGTTCTTTGCCATCACGGTCTGCTGCAGCTTCTCGGTGAGGTCACACTGCCAGGACCAAAGGTACTCCACAGCCTCATGCTTTGAGAGCGGGGTGCCAGTGGTGGTGGTGGTGATGGTGCAGAGGAGGGCAACGAGGCCATCGAGGGAACAGGACGCCATGTCCCGCATGGCGCGGGTGTCAAAGATATCATGTGGTAACTCAGCCTTGCCATCACCTTCGTGTGGTTGCGGAGGGTATGCGGCATCATACAAGACAGCATTCAGGATTATGTTTGACACAGGATCCAAGGGGCCATAGCAGTGTCCGGACACAAGGAGGGCACGGAGAAGGCGGCCAAGGCGCATGGAGTCGTCACCCGTGGGCAGCACGGCGAGTGCCCGGATGTAGAAGCCATGGATGGCATCAAGGAGGCACATTTTCAGGGACAGTATGTACTCGCATGGCGAGGAAAAATCATAGTCCAGTTGACAACCACCACTACTGCACTTGGAAAGCTTCATCTCCATGGCTGAGCTATCATCAAATGTCAGGTTGGAGATGTATTGGAGTTGCTGAGGTCGGATGTGATCTGGGGTTACGATTTCGGTCGAGATTCGAGCAAAAGCACCTCCCCCAATGCAGGTGGCAACCTGCAGGGTGCCATGGTTGGTGGCTCGATGAGCACAAGCATCGCCATTTGGGCAGCACAAGAAGTCCATGTTGGCAGGCAGGCACTGGCGTGCAAGAAGTAGGTCCATGATGGCCCGGACGTCATGGGTGGTGAGCAGCTCCGATCCCCGCAGCTTGTCCATGATAGGAGAGAGCAAATGAGACGGGTACTGCGCTGTCATGGTCTGCACCAGTTTATCCGGCGCGGGGTGGTCTGCTTGGACGGCGGCGATCCTGAGTGCGATCTTCATCCTGCCATCGTCGGGAAGCAAGGATGGTCGGGGAAGACAGCGGCGGCGGTCATGGTGGACGAGCTCGATGGCGAGGAGAAGGTCGTAGGAGGCGAGGTAGAGGTAATGCCTGGCCTGGCTGTCCGTGAGGTAGCGGAATTACACCTTCATGAACGCGAGGAGGCCACAGAAGGAGTTCAATGAGATGTACCCCCAGCCACGGCTGTACGTCCTGCGTGTCCTCTTCTTGGGCGGCGGCGGCAGGTCCTCCGCTCCGCCGGCGGCGAGGTGGGCGACGGCGTTGAGGATGATGTTGGTGACGGGGTCGGCGAGGCCAAAGCAGTATCCGACCGCGCCGACGCAGTGGAGGAGCTCCGGCATCTCCTCGAGGGGTAGCCGGCGCGCCGCCTCGGCGACGTACTCCCTTATGGACTCGGATGATTTGTCGGCCGGTGGCAGCCATGGCTTCTCCTCCTCCTCCTCCCCGTGGTAACAAGTCCATCTGCCCAATCGGAGTTCATCAGAAAAGAAGCCGCCGGTCCGGCTCGGATTCGCTGCTCTGCTCCGTGGATTTGGGGATTTCACACCGGACCTGCTCCCCCGGCTTGCTGTCGATTTGGCGATTTTTCGCCGCTTCATCTCCTACTACGCCGGGGCGGGGCGGGGCGGGGCGGGGCGGCGCTGCGCGAGCGGCGGCACGAGGTGAATCACGGCGACGAGTCCAGCGGCAGTGGATAGGGTTTGTAGCGATTCGATTTTGGTGGCATTCAGTTTGTGAGAATTGGGGAAAGGTAAATAAAGAGTCCGGGTAGGAATCGATATTCGATACGAAGAGACAAGTCTTTATGATTTTTTTTTGCGGGGATTATTATTATAATTAATATAATAATTGAAAAATAAAAATATTGTCTCCTTTCCCTGTTTGGCACTTGGCACGGCGTAGGCAATGTATTGGGGGGACAGCTAATAAGCTAATAGGCGATCGATCGATCCCCATCCCCCTATACACTCTCCCCTCCCGAAACCTCTAATGGGCGATCAATCGCCCAGCCCATGGGATAGGGATCGGGTGCCCCCCTCCCCTCCCTCCACCTGGTTTTCTTTTTTAGCACCATATTACTTTCCTATTTTAATAAATTTATGCATCTCAAGTTTACACATTTAAAGTTTAGAGACCAAAAGTATACAAGTCAAAAGTTTATATATCCGATTTAAATTTGAATTTGAATTCAAATATTTTCTATATATAATATTTATATACATTTAAAGTTTATACACCTAAAGTTTATAGACCTAAAGTTTATAAGTCAAAAGTTTATATACCCGATTCAAATTTGTATTTAAATTCAAATATTTTCTATATATAGTATTTCTATACATCTAAAGTTTATACACCTAAAGTTTATAGATCCAAAGTTTATAAGTCAAAAGTTTACATACCCGATTCAAATTTGAATTTGAATTCAAATATTTTCTATATATAGTATTTATATACATCTAAAGTTTATACACCTAAAGTTTATAGACCCAAAGTTTATTAAGTCAAAAGTTTACATACCCGATTCAAATTTGAATTTGAATTCAAATTTTTTATATATAGTATTTCTATACATAAATTTTTCTAACTTTTTGTTTTTTTTAAAAAAAATTTGTGGTTTACTGTAGCAAGAAGAGAAGAAGGGGAGGAAGAGGGGAGAGAGAGAGGGGGAGTAGGGGGACGGAGCCCATTAGGCGTGCTCCCCCCTCCTCCCCATCTTCTCTTCCTACTACACCATAAATTTTAAAAAAATAAAAAAACAAAGTTAGAGAAATTTATGTATAGAAATATTATATATAAAAAAAAATTTGAATTCAAATTCAAATTTGAAAAACAGGTATGTAAACTTTTGACTTATAAACTATGGGTCTATAAACTAATATTTGAAATCAAATTCAAATTTGAATCGGGTATGTAAACTTTTAACTTATAAACTTTGGGTCTACAAACTTTAGGTGTATAAACTTTATATGTATAGAAATACTATATATAAAAAATATTTGAATTCAAATTCAAATTTGAATCGGATATAATTCAAATTCAAATTTGAATCGGGTATAAAAACTTTTGACTTATTGTCAGGGTTATGGATACCACATACCTAATAGTAGTCGACTACATCTCGGCAGGACCCACCACATACCATGTCCTACACGGAAACCGACTTCAGATATGGAGGGAGTTCCGGATAAGGAAAGACAACCAGAGTTCTACATGGAAACGACAAGGACTATTCGGACTGTATTCATATTGGTTTCCCTAGTTCTACTTGGATAAGGGGACACATATGGGTATAAATACAAGACCCCCTAGGAGGAGTGGGGACACAAGACAATCGACAGACGATCGACACGATCAACATGATCGACACGATCAACACGATCACCACGATCGAGACCCACCTCAATCAACAACCACCACAATATACGGAACAACAGAAGCCAATACAAGCCAACATACGCCAAGACACGCCGCCGGATATCGACTTCAGGGATAGGCATGGCTATTCCCCTACGGTGTCTCCGGATACCGTCAGGAGAGACGAAAGCGCTATCTCTGATCTCACCGGACACGGATTCGAGGAGCAAGACTACCTTGTTGTCGACTACGAGTCAGACCTTCAGACCGACATGTCGACAACAGTTAGATAGGTTACCCACATATTGTACTGGTGTTATTATGGTGAATAAAAGCAACTCCGGCTCCGGCCAACAGGATGTAGGGTTATTACCTGACAACTCAGGGTCCCGAACCTGTATAAAAATCCTTGTCTCCATCTCTTTTACCTCAGTCTCGCATATATCCTAGTACCGACGATCCCCATACTATGCAAATACCATAATTGCGACATCAAACGTCGACAGTGGCGCGCCAGGTAGGGGTATTTTGGTGCTCTAGGAATTCGACGAGATGGGTTCAAAAGATGGATTCTTCGACAACAAGCTACTCGACGACTTCGGCTGTGGAGATCTAACCCGATCGGAGCATGCCTTCCGACGAGATCGGAACCATCATCGTCATTGACAACTTGGTCTATCGAGATCACCCAAGCCTCAAGATACGTGGCATACCAAAAGATGTCAGATCATATGATGTCGAACGAGTATGCAATAAGGTAATTGGTAGATTGGTTTTTCAAATTGATCTACTAATTTCGTAGATACATCCGGCATATATCTACACAGGTACGCAATATTTGATATGCAATTTATCATACCTATTCAGATCATACAGCATTGTCAGATCTACAATTTATTATGTTTACCTAGAGCATGTCTTTTATACAATATCCGTTGTGCGAGTACTTTCGACGATAGGCCAACTACGGTATAACGCTGGGGCTCACTCTGTTTTCTTCTATATAAATCATGCTTGTTTACGGTTTACATAATGCCTGATAATTACATCTGCTCGTTATATCCTGATAATGCTAGAAGATCCATGCAGTTTTTTGAGTACATACTCGATATTCTCTGCTATATATTTTGCCTTCTAGAAAATATTTTTCAGGAACAATTGAGCACTCGATTAGGTTATGGTCGAGTACACTCCATTATCGAGAACATTCTCGACAAATGCGGAGTTATCGCACCCAACCTACCAACAAAGACCAATGACCTATCTCATAGCACCGGCCATGGCTGGACTACTCAAGAAAAGGTTGTTAATGGATAATTCCTCGCGAACATCGTCGGCTTGATCACCCGACATGATTGCGAACGGACATCCGGATATGCTATAAGTTGGGTACGTGAGTCATGCTGACCACATGAGATACACTTGCAATAAACCAACTCTAGCGCTTCCATCGGTGTTCGAGAGATAATTCTGCTCGCTCACTGGTTCTCGCGCCAGTACGTAGCAATCTCTCGCACCGCAGCTTCCATCGGTGTTCGAGAGATAATTCTGCTCGCTCACTGGTTCTCGCGCCAGTACGTAGCAATCTCTCGCACCGCAGCTTCTATCGGTGTTCGAGAGATAATTCTGCTCGCTCACTGGTTCTCGCGCCAGTACGTAGCAATCTCTCGCACCGCAGCTTCCATCGGTGTTCAAGAGATAATTCTGCTCGCTCACTGGTTCTCGCCCCAGTACGTAGCAATCTCTCGCACCGTAGCTTCCATTGGTGTTCGAGAGATAATTCTGCTCGCTCACTGGTTCTCGCACCAGTACGTAGCAATCTCTCGCACCTTAACTTCAGATGGTCGAGGTACGACTACGGCAGCGTAGCGGTCCTCGCACCATGGCTTCAGATGGTTGAGGAACAGCTACGACTGGTCTTCGACCGGCAGCGTAGCGGCCCTCGTACCACGACTCCAAATGATCGAGGGACACCTACTCACCGGTTCTCAACCAGTTGATCATAGTGATCTCTCATACATTTGCTTCTAGTGGTCGAGTTACGACTACTGCCTCGTCCTCGACCAGCGATGTAGCGTCTCTCCTACTACTTCCACTTTAAGTGGTCGAGTTACGACTACTGCCTGGTCCTCGACCAGCGATGTAGCGTTTCTCCCACTACTTTCACTTTAAGTGGTCGAGTTACGACTACTGCCTGGTCCTCGACCAGCGATGTAGCGTTTCTCCCACTACTTCCACTTTAAGTGGTCGAGTTACGACTACTGCCTGGTCCTCGACCAGCGATGTAGCGACTCTCCTACTACCTCTATTTCAACAAAGTTGATAGCAGGTACACAATATCGCCAAGTGTTTTACCCAGAGATCCCTTGCCACGACGACACCTAGCGTTGAAACCTATCCTACTGTCCCTTTACGCCGTCTTGACAAGGCCTCCGAGGAACCTAAGGGATCTTCGGCTGGGGACGCCCAGAGCCAATAAGGCCTTGTCGGATCCTGTAGAGACAAAAGACCATGTAAGATCTGGTCATGTAAGAGTTCTCGCCGTGCGTATTAACCAAGCCGTGTAATCGGAAATTGAGCTTTCCAACTTCACGGCTGGGGGCTAGGATCAATGCTTGTTCAACTAAGGCAGGTCAAGGGTCCAAGAGCCTTATCCTCCAAGAACGATTCTCCGACGACAAGGCTGGGGGCTAGGGAGAGTGTATGACTCTACAAACTGACTGATCGAAGTCGGTAAGAGAGAAGACGCTCATACACAAAACATTGGTCGGTAAATTTAATTCATTTTCAATTTACCATACATATTATAACATTGTCACCCTTTGAGCGTTCGCTCAGGGGCTAGTTCTATTTGATATTCTTTTCTGAGCATTGATTTAGGGAAAATTCTATTCGACATTGCGGAAGACTCCATGTCTCTTTGGTTCTACACCAAGATCGACTAAGGCGAGTACGACCAATGTTGACAAGGCTCCGTCGCAGACTCTACGCCTTCTCGATCGCTCGAGAACAGTTGCTGGATCTCGACAAGGAACATGGAGTGAAGAGATGGTGTACCAGCCGAGATAGAATTTCTTGACTTCAATCCAAATTCTCGATTACAGCAAGACGGGAGACTTAGTCGTCTGCTCTGTACTTCCTTGGTTGACATCGGAGATTGACTTAGACAAACCCTTTCGGTGCTCGCACGAGGCTGACAAAAGAAGTCTAACGTTATCTCTGAACTCACCGAGAACGGTCACTTGAGCTCGATAACAGTTACTCCATGGTCAGCGGTCGAGAATATGAATTCGTTCATTTGCATTGAAGTCGGGGACTACTGTCAGGGTTATGGATACCACATACCTAATAGTAGTCTACTACATCTCG